TCATGGGGAGAACACTTTCTTTTTCACACTTTGTGATTGGCTTTGCCCTTTCAACACAATATTTGAGCTTTTGCAGGAAGGCTTTAGAAAGCATCTTTCTTTTTCTGTCCTGCCTTACTTATAATCTGATGGCTAATGCATTTTTTGAGGTGAAAGGCATTTTGAGGTACTGCATCTTTCAGCATGGTTCCTTTGTGACTTAGATAAGGACACAAAAAATGTAGGGCAGGGAATCAGTCTTTGGTCTCCAGAGTGCTATGTGAACTGCATAGCTGAAATAGGACCTCTGTCACAGAGCTTACTGAAGCTCAGCACTTACTTGAAAGACTTGAAGCTGAATGAGTCTCTCCTAAAAAGAAAGGAGCTTGCCATATTTGTTTGGAAGTTAATGTAGATAAAATAGATAGATAGTAGACAGACAGACAGATCGATTGATCGATCAGTCAGTCACCTACCACTCTTTAAAACAGTGTCAGGGAGGAGTATTAAAAATAGTGTATCCGGCATAAATTACAGGGGAATTTTAAGTAGGCAAAAGAGGATTACCTTTTTATTTAGTATTTGTGTGTTAGGGTTACTACCCTTGCAAAATAGGTCTTATTACAGCTTGGCACCACATATCGCAAATTTATTAGTGCAGAAACCAAAATAGCCAGTAGGGTAATAGTGTAGTTGGAACACTTGGGTTGCCTATGGAAGATCCAAATTCAGTTTCTTGCTGCAGACTGACTCCCTAGTTCCTATGCCCGTGTAAATCCTCTACTTTATAGGACTAATTAAGTCGTCTTTGCAGTATGTACTGAAGATTTCATTAACCCTACCGTAGAATATCTTTTTGGCCCTAATGGTATGTAAATATTTATGGGAAGTGGAATTTATACAGAAAAAAATCTCGGAAGAGATTCAGCCCACAGTCGCATTATGGTTAAAGTCATCTTTGATTCATATCAGATCCTGATATGAATCATGCAATTGAAGCTGGGTTACCCACATAATGCTTGAAAGCCTTAACTGTCAAGCTACTGGGTTTTGCAGGATAGGGAAAATCTCCTCACTGCATTTCTGCACGGTTATTTTGAAAGATCTCAGTTTCATTCCAGTGAAGAAGAAAATACTTTAAATCTCAAAAACTGTCATAGAATAAGGAAAATGTTTCTAGCCTAGGTCTAACTGCAAAATTTCTCATATTGCCTGTCATAACTTTTGCAAAGAAAAGGATTCCTAGTTTACTTGGCTCTTCAAAACTGCCAGCTGATGCCAATTGTTATGAAGATATTTTTGTTTGGCTGTGATGTGGGACTCCCGCCAGGAAGAGCAGAAGTTGCTGCATGCGGGTTAGCTCTGATAATTGCTCGGTGTCGCTACATGCTGGAGAGCTGTATTCTGCTGTCAGCTGCACTCGGCGGCTGGTAAACCGAGAGGATTCTCATCCCTAGCGTCTTCACTGCGCTGCACTGCCTGTGTTTTTTGACTTTCTGAGGAAACTGTGAAGCCAGAAAGAGAAATAGTCTCTGTGTGAGCTAAGAACAAGAGCTAGGTGGGAGTTTCAGGGGTGAATTGGTGTGAAAGGCTTGGCTGACCAAAATTAGGCACTGAACTGGGAATGTCGTGAGAGGTCTGTCTCTTGAGGGAGTTCCGTGTGACTAAGTCAGGGTTGTTTGTTTTGCCGAACACAGTTACATTTCTCTAGGGCACCTTCTTTGAAATCAAAGTCTATGTATTTGATCTCAAGTTTATATTTATTCAGCAGCTTAAAAAGCAAGAATCCTGCATTTCTTTACAGTCTTTCTATTGGAAAGACTTCAGTTCCCACTGAAATACAGTCTACTTTCAAAATATCTCCAGCAGCATAAAGAGCTTCAGCCTTCCTAGAGGCATTATAGGCGGGATTGCTCCATATGCTCAGACTAATGCATTTAAAGAAAGTTTTTTTCATACAATTTATCACAGTGAACTAAATATGTTTTTGAGGGAGGCATAGTGTTTGGCTAAGTATACACAAACTCAAGAGCAAATGAAGTAGCCACGATGTGAAGCTAGGTCTACATTTTATTAAGATAGCTTTAGTTGAGCAAGGTAGATCTCCGTGGAGGCATAGCTCTGATGCTAACATTCCACCAACAAATCAAGACATGCTGACTTGAAAGAAAAGGCTTCGCATTTTCCAGAAAGAGTGTGATAATGATTCTGCATGGATTACAAAGGACTGTAATAACTGCCTTAAGGCCCATCTTTGTTGATAGAAGAACTTTCCCAACTGCTAATTCTGGCTCAGGTACATGGAGCAGATCATAAAAGTTATTCCTTTTTGTTGGGTTAAGAACAACCTCTTGAAAGGTTTTGAAATCTCTTTGCTTTGTTTTCCTCTAAGTGTTAAAACATGACTACATGACCTGCCACGTGAATTTATAGTCTTTTCCTTAGTCACTCATACAGATCACTGGATTGTAGCAGCAAATTACTTTTTTTTTTGCTAAGATTCCTTCATACCTGAAAGAACACATCATGACAGGAAAAAAGCTTAAGATATTGCCAAAAAATGTATTGTTCTCTCTTTCAACTGAGACAATAATTCATAACTTGATTGAAAGCATGTATGTCTTCTGTGGCCAATTATCAAAATATTTTTATAGTTATTAATTACTTTGCACTTGGAAATAATTAGAACGACAGCTTATTATTTTCAAGATACACAGGAGAAACGGTTAAGAGTGTCTGAAAATAAAGAAGCATATTAAAAATCAAAGTTTGAATTTGAAAAATATATTATGATTTGCAGGTAATCCTGGTACCTTTTGCTCTAGAAGAGACCTAGTTGTGTGCAGATTAATGGAAAATGAAAATGACTGCTTAGTTCCAAGATGAGCTTGCATACTGTGTAATAGCCAAGTATGTTCTCAATCATCCTCTGATCTTGAAGATCAAGTAATTAAAGTTTTTGTGTTTTTTTTTCCTAAGGTACAACCAATGTTTCAGAGCTGTGAGAGGTGTCTGATGATTGTGTCAGCATTAACACACAGATTTGTAGAGGCATGCCCTACAAGTTGGGTATCTGTACATTGCACAGCTGAAAGTATGTTCACTGTTTTCTGGAAATCATAAATGAGTTTTATATCTTCAGTAGTGATATTTCCTCATTGTAGTTTTTTTGTTTTTTCAACAGTAAATGATATAGGGATGCTGGAAAGATATTTTTAGATAATGATTATCATTTAAATGTATTTCACAATAGACTAAAAGATTTTTAAGGTATGACATTAAAATTAGAATAATCTTTACGTTCTGCAGATTATGAGAGTGTCTTCAATCTGTATCATAAATATCCCTTTTATCAAAAGAAAAACTGGAAAAACAAGAGAGAAAAAGAGATTTCATTCTTTCTCTGAAAAATGTTGAGTTTTCTAGACATCATAAAAATTATAAAAATTGATAAAAGTCTGGATATGAGATGTTAGAAAAGGGAACACTATGCAGTAAGAGTCACTGGCGTGTATATGCTTTGGGAGTCGTGCGTTAGAAATTAGTCTATTCTTTCTGCAAAAACTATTTTTTTTCGATTTCTTAAAACTCATGAAGCATAGTGAGGAATCTATTCTTTGTATAAAGAAACTTGGTCAGATTGCAGAAATCATTACAACTGATCCTGTTAAGGCAGAGCTTTAAAAAAGTAAATAATAATTGTCCAGGTAAGGAGTTTTATTAATAGGTTGAACTGGAAGATAAAGATATATTGAGATGCATTAAGATGATGATAAATGTCATTCCACATGTTAAACTGATGTTTAGGATAACTGAATAGTATATTTTAGGCAGTAGACATCTACATGTGAGAAAAAATAGGTAGTATATGAAGGGGAAGTTCCTAAAACATCTCTTGAGAGAAGGCTTTGGCCTGTATTTTTTGCAGCTTGACCCTTGATTTTCTTCAAGAAAGCTGGTCGTCTTATCACTACTGGGAGTGCCTGGCAGTATGTCCCTCTCCTTTACTCTCATTTCATGTGTTCGACAGCATCCCACTGCCCATTCTGTTTTTTCAGTTTTGTCTCGTGTAACTACAGTAGCACAGCGGGTCCCTTGTGTTCAATATGATAAGTGTTATTTTGCGGTAGTTGTTGCAATAACCTCTCTGAGCCTGGAGGTAATCCAATAAATCTGCCAGCCTAAGCTTTACACAAAGTACAACCGAGAGAAAATCTTCCCTTTCTCTGACTTTCGCTTTCCCCAATATCCTTCCCTTCCCACACACAGATGCTCACACCCCATTTACCTCTCCAGCGATGTGAAATGTCTCTGGGGTGTGGGCATTTGGCTTCAAATTCTTCCTGAGTTGGCTGGCCAGAGGTGAAGGTAAAATATTTCAGTGTATTTAATAACCCAAAAGTCACGATACCTTCAGAGGAGAAGAGATGCAAGCCAGTATCTTTCAAAGGCAAAGTAAGTCTCTAACGCAGCAATGACCTAACGGCAAGAAATAGAACATGACTGGGAAGCCCAGGCAGGCAGGCAGCTTCCTCCGCTCCGCCCAGAGCCCGGCGCGGAAAGCCTGCGAAAAGTGGAACTAAAGCTCCAGCTTTCCCTTGGCATTTCCTGCTAGTTATTTCCGACGTCTCCCCATAGAGCGTACAGGCTTTGGCCCAACCTTGCCACCTCCTAGCGTCACTTAGGGAGCTGAGGCATCTGGCTTTGAGGTGGAGAAGCCGGTGATCAGCCCTCTAGTTACACGGCACAAATTTGAGCCCCTGTGGATCTGCTGTCTTCACCTTCCCTTCCTTTTCTTTCTTGTACCTGCATATTTTAAGGAGCCAAGTTTGTTCCCCTGGTTTCTAAAGGCCAGGCAAGCCAGGGAAACTTAATTCCTTTGGCTGGGTAGTGGCAGGGAGAGAGGCGCTGAGAGGAGGGGTCATTTTAAAGAGCACCCGAGCACAGACTCCGGTCTCTTTTGCTCACTGTGACAGCAAGGGGTCACGCTGGAAACCACAAGCTGGGATTTACCAAGTGGCCTCTCATCTTTTTCTCCCTCTTAGTTTTACTTTTCCTCTCCTTCTGTCCTCTCATTTTTCCTAGGAAGGGCATTTGCACTGACAACTTCTTGGACTGCTCTGGGACGTTTTTCTGAGGAGGGTAAGGCGTTTTAACTGCTGGTTGTTACAGGATAGCTAGATAAAATTGTAGAAGGGGGAAGGTTGTTTGTTTGAATGCATTGTTTTGGACCCTGGAGGGTCCTTTGGCATGAGCTGTGCTTAAGCTGAAATAAATTAGGTAAAGGCAAAAGGCTGTATAAAAAGAAATCATCCAGGGTTTTCAAAGTTCAGTAACTTTGATTTATTACAGGATTGTCCGATTTGTTTCACCGCTTTTGCATTCCCTGTCACTTATGTGCATATACAATAAACTAGCTAGGGAAATTTCTGTTGATGAAAAGGTATCTTTCAGGAAAAATTGTAGAGTGCACATTTTTTTAACAAACAGCTTAAAATGTCATGTTTAAACGAGCTTTATATTGACTTAGTGAGGCAGCAGACATTAAGTGGCGCATGTATGAAAATTTATAAAAGTTATGGGTCTCTAAAATATTTAAACCCAAAAATTTGATTGCCAAAAGAATATGCCCTAGCCAGCTGTAAAGTTGTGGCTAGTACCTATAGTATAGTGGCTAGCATATATGTAGTATAAGTATGAAAAGCTATAAATATGTGGCTTACATAGCAAAACATATCCAAAAGCTTTATTTAGTTTTTATTCTCAGGGAACAAATGCACATTATGCTGGTGATAGCATAGTTTTATTGCAAAAAGTTGTGCTGACCAACAAAGCATACTCAGAAGAGCAGACAGATATACCTTCAGCTGAACCTATCTTAAAATGGCAAGCTGCTGGGCCGTTGCTATTCCTGGAGGTGACTCTGATAGGTCTCAACAGATGCAGCTCCTGGAATGCAGCCCCCGGGGTGGGGGGAGACGGGCAGCAGCTGACCGCCGCGCTAGCACAGCCACGTTCGGGGCTCGCGCCAGCATGCAGTGACACTGACGCTTGCAGCACACATGGCCTTCCCCCTCTTCTGCTCTGCTCGTAGTCATCACCCCTCAGGAGAAAAAAAAAGCCTGGTACTCACAGGCAGCAACCATTCCTTTCTATAACTGTAACATTGTTTTGTTATATGCGGTACGCTTAAGGAAAATTTGATGTGATGAGGTTGTAGATTGAAATAATAATGGAGATTTATTTCTTAATTTGATCTAATAAATAATCCAGTTGTTTGTTTTGCCATTAAATAGTAGCTCTCCATGTTCTGTCTTTTATGAACACAAGGATTACAAAGAAAATTAGCTCCTGTGATTGTTTGAAATAACAGATATATCAAAGACTAGAGCTATATTTGAATAATGCTGCTCTCAACGATTCTGCTTTTCACTGTGGTTTCCAGGATCAGTGCTTTTCTTCTGGTATATGTACATATATATTTTTGCATAGCTCCTTTGAGGATTACTTAAGGGCCAACTCACAGTGCATTTAAAAAAAAGCTTGGCTCTTCATTTCAACAAAGCTTGGAACTTGCCTAGAGCTGATATGTATAATTCAGACATCTATTCTAACAAAACTGTATGGAAATAATTATTTCCTTCACACATAAAGAATGTGTTTAAAATAACATATCTGTTAGAGTTTGCACAAAGTCTTTTTCAAGGAAAAGTTAGACATCTCCTCTTCTTCCTGTAGCTCCTCAAAATCCTAAAAATAAGATTATAATAATTTCAAATTATTGATATGGAAGAGCAAGCAAAGTGTGCTATGAGTAGAAGGTATTTGTGAATCTTACATGAGATATAGAATATTGCAAGTCTCTTAAATCTAAAGTTACAAACCTTGAAGTAATTTGGATCAGATCCTGAATCTAAAATCAGTGTAACATCGTACGTAAAATTCACTTTCTCCTTTATGTTTTACACTGCTCATTTCTAAAAGACTTTTTCCCACTCCTAATGTTTCCTGGTCAAATTCTAAATTCACTTACCTGTAAATCCATACTAGCCCTGGATTAAGGAGGAACCGTGTAGGGGCCCACATTTTTCTGATGCTTCAAACTAATGAATTCAGATCTAGATCCTGACTGACTTTAAAATATTTTTACAAAATTTTGCACTCTGGCAAATCCATTTAATGTTTAGAAAGGGAAGTTAACTTTTTGAATTCATGAGAATAGGGAAATATGATTTTTATAATTTTTTTTTTTTAAAGGAATTACTAGTAGGTGTACGCTTCATAGTTTGGGTATCCATTGTAATTAATAAACAGCAACACTCCAATCTAGGCCAATATAACTGTTCTTAGGAAGATACATTATATTGTGTGTTTTGTTGTTATATGTTGACAAAGTTTAGATTTGTCGCATAATCCGTCAGATATTACATTTTACAACTGCAATGTAGTTTTAAACTTTTCCATTGTATTTTTAGCAAGCTCTTGGCTGTAACAGTTCATTGCAGTCATGGCACCTAAGAAGAAGAATGTGAAAAAGAACAAAACAGATATCAATGAAATGACTATCATTGTGGAAGATGGCCCCCTGAGTAAACTAAATGGCTTGAATGGACTCTTAGAGGGAGGAAATGGTTTCAGCTGCATCTCATCTGAAGTTTCCGACTCATCTTATAGCCCAAATCTTTTGGAAGGTCTAAGCAGGATGAGACAAGAAAATTTTCTTTGTGACTTGACTATCAGTACCAAAACCAAATCTTTCAGTGTTCACAAGGTAGTGATGGCTTCAAGCAGTGACTACTTTCACAACATCTTAAAAAAAGATCCAACCACGCAAAGAGTAGACCTCAATGATGTATCCCCATTGGGTCTAGCTACTGTTATTACTTATGCTTATACTGGAAAACTTACTCTCTCACTTTATACAATAGGTAGTATTATTTCCACAGCAATCTATCTTCAAATTCACACCCTTGTAAAGATGTGCAGTGATTTTCTAATCCAAGAAATCAGTGTTGAGAATTGTATGTACATTGCCAATATTGCAGAAACATATGGACTGAAAACAACCAAAGAGGCAGCACACAAATTTATTAGAGACAACTTCATTGAATTTTCAGAAACGGATCAGTTCTTAAAACTTACTTTTGATCAGATTAATGAACTTCTTGCAGATGATGACTTGCAGTTGCCTTCTGAAATTGTTGCATTCCAGATTGCAATAAAATGGCTAGAATTTGACCAAAAAAGAGTAAAGTTTGCTGCAGATCTGTTAGGTAACATCCGTTTTGGTACCATCTCAGCTCAAGACCTTGTCAATTATGTTCAAACTGTACCGCGGATGATGCAAGATGCAGACTGCCATAAACTTCTAGTGGATGCCATGAACTACCATTTGCTTCCCTATCATCAGAATACACTGCAGTCCAGAAGAACAAGGATTCGGGGAGGTTTCAGAGTGTTAGTTACTGTTGGGGGACGGCCTGCACTAACAGAAAAGTCTCTTAGCAGAGACATCTTATACAGAGATCCTGAAAATGGATGGAAGAAGCTTAGTGAAATGCCTGCTAAAAGTTTTAATCAGTGTGTGACAGTGATGGATGGATTTCTGTATGTCGCTGGTGGGGAAGACCAGAACGATGCCAGAAACCAGGCCAAGCATGCAGTCAGCAATTTCTGCAGGTAACCAATTATTTATAAGGGATGGAGAGATCAATTCTCCACAGTGCGGGGAGACAGACCGAGCTGGACTGTGAAGTGCAGCATGAGCAGTCCAGGCATAGAGAAGGGGGACAGGGTAGGGGGAGGTATGGATGCTATTCTATATTGAAGTTTGAATGAATAGTAATATACACCTGAAGTCATGCAAAAACTCCACCACGGTTACAGATGCACAATGAGAAGTGAGGAAAACTGAGAAAACTTACTCCAAGTGGAGGAAATAAATAACACCTATTCAAATGTTAAAATTATGAGAGACTCTAAGGTAGCATTAAAATGCACGAAATCACACAGGGTGAGACTTTCTAAATTTCAAGAGCTGCTGATGCATCACAGAAAATTCTGAAAAATAGGCTTTAAATGTTATAATCTTGCCTTTCTTCTGCACCATCCAGCATACTTTCACCAGCTTTTATATTGCATTTAATTTCCTGTAGTTTTTTTATTTCTCAAGAGTAGGAAACAATGTCATCGTTTCCTGAAAGCTGTATTTTCTCTTCTACAATGACTCCAAATAATCCCTAGCTTCTGTAATAATTGCAGTTCCCATCAACTGTCATCCAAGAACTGCATTGGTGATAGCAAGGTTAGAAGAGGGTCGGTCAAGGTACTACAGTATGTTAGGCTATGGGGAACTCCTGCTAGTTTTTAAATAGTTTTGTCTAAAAGCTGATGGCACACAATAGCTTGAAGAGAAGGTCAGAGGTGAGAAAACTCAGATTTTTATCTATTAACAGACAATGAAAAGGCAATGCCAGCGTACAGCTATGGTCCTACCGATGTTTCCTTTTCTGCTCCCAGACAAAACATTCAGATAACCTCTCCTGAAGAGAGCAACGAACTTGTAAAGTTAATGAATAAGAAATGTTCTCTAGATCATTTTTATTGTGCAGTTTAATTTGTCAGACAAATACGTTACACAAAGGAGAATACTTTGTTGCTCTCCAAACCTTCTGCCTTAAGGCTATGCCTCACCTTCTCATAAGGCTCGCCTTGGTTGTGTGGATGATGAGGGGATATTTACGGTCAGGCAAGTGTTTGGCTCTATGGGCTCTGCCCCCTGTTCTGCCATTAACCTTGAGCAAGTCAGCTTCCAGAGCAGACAGATAACAATGCTCTATGTAAGCTAACAGTTATTATTTACTTTCCCATGGTCTTTTTCTCATGTGATCCTCTAGTCCTCTCACCATGCAACAGAATAAATTTATGGGCCTAATTACATATCTCTCTCACAGTCTTATCCTAAGGAATCATAATTTTCCATTTGCTACCTTAAAATTGTTCATTTAAATGTCAAGGACAGAGGATGTTATTTCAGACAGGTATGATATTAGGAAGTAAAGATGTTGTTTCTACATAAATCTAATTTGACATGAGTGACAGGGAAAGAAAAACACTTAACATTTAAAAAGTATGCAAGTATGAATCACCACCTAGCACTTTTAAAAACTCTTTTAGTAAATTTTGACATCTTTGCTTTTGTAGGCCTTTCGTAGGCATACATTGTAAAAAAGTTTTAAATTTTCCAGTGAATGTTAAAAGAATCACCTCTGCATATTATAATGAGGTTCCTATACAAAACTGAATTACAGGAATAAGTCAGATTTGTTTTATTGAAATGATACTGGTTTGGAATGATATAAACACATTTTTCAATAATCAAAACCTAAATTTATTTGGAAATTTAAACAGGAATACGAGTTTCATTCCACTCACTTCTAAAGGGCTAGTTAAATAACTAACATAAAATAGTGATTTAGAAACTCCACAGATGCAGCCACAGGGGGACAAGTGTAGGACAGTAGAATTTACTGTAGCGATATTTGAGACAGTTACCCTCTTTTTTTAATGCTTTCAGATATGATCCTCGTTTCAACACATGGATTCACCTGGCAAATATGAATCAGAAGCGTACCCACTTTAGCCTGAATGTATTCAATGGCCTCCTTTTTGCAGTGGGTGGTCGCAACTCCGAGGGGTGTCTCTCCTCCATTGAATGCTATGTGCCTGCAACCAACCAGTGGCAAATGAAGGCACCCCTGGAGGTGCCAAGGTGCTGCCATGCTAGTGCAGTGGTAGACGGTAGGATCCTGGTCACGGGAGGTTACATAAATAATGCTTATTCTCGTTCAGTGTGTATGTATGACCCGTCTAATGATAACTGGCAGGATAAATCCAGCCTTAGCACTCCAAGGGGATGGCACTGTGCTGTATCCCTTTTGGAGAGGGTCTATGTCATGGGTGGCTCGCAGCTGGGAGGGCGAGGGGAAAGGGTGGATGTTCTCCCTGTGGAATGCTACAGTCCTTACATGGGGCAATGGAGTTATGTTGCACCCCTCCAAACTGGAGTTAGTACGGCAGGGGCCTCAACACTTAATGGGAAAATTTACTTAGTGGGGGGCTGGAATGAAATAGAGAAGAAATATAAGAAGTGCATTCAGTGCTATAACCCAGATCTCAATGAATGGGCAGAGGAAGATGAACTGCCTGAAGCCACTGTGGGAGTATCTTGTTGCACAATATCCATGCCCAACAACAAAACAAGGGAGTCCAGGGCTAGCTCGGTCTCTTCTGTGCCAGTCAGTATTTAAACACTGGTCTAACCAGAAAAAAATAAAGATGTTTACCTGCACAGCAGTATAATTAACCCTTTAAGTAGCATTTTTGTGCTTATATGAAAAAAAAAAATTGGCATTGCAACAGTTTTAACAATGCAAATTGGCCAGTTTTCATGATCTTTAATACAGGCGGTGTGAAACAGCATATTAGAGATAAGATGAATTTTATTGGCAGGAACAGAGCGTTATGCCATAACTGTACGAGGTGTTTTGTTCTGTTCCTGGCTTTGCCACTGACTCACTGTGTTACCTGTGGCAAATCACTTAATTTCTTTGTGCCTTTGTTTCCTTACCTGTAAAATAGAGATGAAACTTGCTTCAGACGGTTGTTGTGAGGCTTTTTTAATACTGAGTTTTAAGTGCTTTCAGAACTCAAAATGAAAGTCAAATATTACTAGTAATAAATCTCAACCTACTTTAGAAATGTGCCATGTCATCATAAAATTGGTTGGTTTTGTTCTTTTTTAGGCATTTGATATTTTGAGAAAGGCATTTAAAAAAAAGCTATTGCATATGACGTGTACATATGGTCTCTTCGGGGTAGTGGTATTCACAGATAATTTTTCAAAACATTTTCTCCTTAACTTAGACAGAGGCACCTATTCTCTGCAATGAAACCCTTTAATTCTCTTACCTTACATGCCTTTCAAGAGCTAAAACCACAAAATACATTAGCTCCTTTAACCGTTATGGGCCAGCCCCAAGAGCCTGCTGTAGGTGCTAGGTTGCTCTTCAAACCTCCACATAGGCATCAAGGAGCAGACCACAACTGCATCCTCTTCCACAGTCCAGGGAGACTCTCCTGTCACTCCAGAGGGGAGGTAAGAAGGCCACTCAGTATATCTCTTCCTGTTCCTACGCTTCCTGTTTATGTAGGGGTGTACCTCCAAGTTACATTCTCTCTTCTGAGAAGGCCCTCACCAACACAAGGAGCCAGGAGCAACCCCAGCAGGGGGAAAATCTGGAAGCCGAGTGCATGCCAGGAGGCACTGAGGACTGGTGGTGTACAAGCGCAGAGAAGATGTGTAGGACAACTTTCCTACTCAGTATTTATTCTGACAAATTCCCAATGGAGTCAGGAACAAAGGCTCAATAATGACTGCAGGATCTGACTTTAAGAATAGAGTATATGGGTGGAAAACAGTAAGTCATGGGAAAACTGGATAAAATAGAAGACTCCTTAAGAGTAACACAGTTAATCCTTAAGAGTAACACAGAGATATCTTAACACCTTTCTTACCAGGCATAGACACAACATGACCCAAACTAACCTTTTCCTGGACATACTACTATGTACCTCCTTTTGAAGCCTTCATCGCAGCCCTCTATTATCTGATGAGTGCTTATTCACTTTTTTTCCAAAGACTAGAATAATGCTGGGCCTGCTGAATTCTGTGAAGTTTTGCCATTGATTAGAGTTGAGCCTTTGCTCATCTCAGATTACCTTCTAAGAATTTTTTTCTTAATTTCAGCACACAGTAGGGGAATTAATCATGAAAACTAATCCCATTCCCTTACCCAAAGGGATACGCATCCCAACATGTATCCTGAGAGTTTGATACCAAATGATTGCCATCAGTAAAAAATTTCTACACCCTCCTGTTTGCAAAGGAAAGAAATAATAAAAGGAACTAAAATTACTTAATATAACCAAAATGGTAGAAAGTCATTCTTCTTAACCTGTTTGTAGAGCCTTCACATGCAGTTTCCTCACATTATAATTGACATCTCCAAGCTACAGTGCCAATCAGAAAGCATACGCATAGCAGTGTTTACAAGGCAGCCAAATTTTTATCTCATGTGCAAAAGGGGAACTCTATAAAATTGTCCCTAAATGCAGACATTGTTGGGGTCAAACATTTACAGGACCATCATAATCTGATTGCTCTTTGTTACAGTTATGTATTGAGCATCAGCAATGAATGTGACACAGTATTAGAGCCGAAGTAATTCACTCTGTCATATGGCATAGTCCTGTTTTACACTTCTAATTTAGTTCGAGTTCATGTCTGCATCCTGACTACACAATTTTAAATCCTGAGTTCTATTTTTGAGTACTGCGTGTTATTAGAATATCCTGCATTGCAATGACTTTCAGTCAAAGTAGTGCTGTCATATAGGTTGAACTAGTGTAGTGTGTATATAGATACCTTTTTCTTCTCTTTAATTCAAATGAGCAATATTTCAAATGTATAGTCACATAACAAAACATGCAATTGCATAACAGAGTAAGATTGATTTGTTTTAAATACAAAAATGCTGTTCTTGCCTGTTTCAGTGAGGGAAAGCATTCTTTCGATGAGAGCACAATTTTTTCTTTTCCCAAAGTCATGACCAAATATTCCATATGAAAGTATTTAAGAAGGTCTTTGAAAAATTCGTCTGTTCCAATAATTTTGATAAAATTATAATACCATTAGATGTAGTTGCTTATCCACCCAGGCCAGTGAAGTCACGCATGCACATATCCAATTATACCTGAATACATACAGCAGATAGTTATTTAGTGTTTCTAAGGCACCCATTAAGTGAGAATCTAGGAACTGATTAAACAATCATTTTGGCCTCAGATAAATATGGGATTAAACTGTGTCACACACAAGTGCCTCTTTTTCCCTTTAGCAATTTAGTGCTAAAATATATGCGTAGTCAGATGTTGTTGCAAGCTTTCCTCTTTTGTGAGCCAACACTTCCTGTATGTTAAAAATGATCTTCTGTTTCCCAAATAGCTATTTGTTAATTATGGGCTAAGTGCAATGAAATACCGTCTACTACTTAAAGGGTTAAAAACTTTTGGGGGCCAAATCCTATCCATCTTAAAAAAAAGTCCCATTGACTTCACTGAGATGGTTGAACATGATGTATAGGATTTCAGACTCTTGGTCAACTTCTGGCAGAACAACACATATAGGTGCCTGCCAAAACTGCCCATACCTGGAAGCAAAAGCACTGTCTCAGCTTCCACTGCCCTTCACCATGAGAAAACGATAAAGAAGTGTCCTAGAACAGGAGTCAAGCAACATTGGCCACGTATTCCTGCCACTGCACAAATTAGTATGTACTTCAGGCCAAAAATCTTAGGTAGATAAACAAATAGTTTTGTTGTAAGTATAGCACTTCAGTGTGGCTTTATATTTTCATTATTTTCTCTAAATATCTGTTTAGGGTTCAACTGCACATTGAGCCAGGATCTGGCCCTTAATATGTGAAAATATCTGCTGAACTTAATATTGTTTTGATCATACCAATGTACTGCCCTAGTTGTGACATTTTTATGTACAATGTTGTTTAATTAGAACTGTGAAAAATTGTTTGTATGTTATGTGTTATGGAGAAGTTTTCTATCATTGTCCAGCACAGTATTTTCAATCCCCAAATATTTAATCGGAACAACTCAGTTGAACTGGAAACATTGTATATCCCCAAAATAAATCTTAAAATGTAGTTTGGGAAGTACTGTCTATGATAATATTATCAAGTACAGCAGAGAGCTTCTAACTACACAAGATGTAGATTGTCTAAACAGCACAGGGGTCTTCTTTAAGCTATACTAACAGTAAAAAAAGAAAAAAAAGTGTGCAGTTATCTTCAAAGTTCCTTATGTCCATGCATTTTATAGTCCATAACATCTGTGCTTCAAAGGAATTCAGATCTGAAAATAATGTTCCTTCAGTCTAGGAATGAAAGAGTTTGATAATACTTTGTTTTCTTGTTTCATCATACTTGTATACGTGCATGAGAGAGTGTGTTATATGGTCACGAGAGAGAAATTTACTTTTGGAAATTTATGATGTAAGGAAGATTTTGCACTTAGTTCTTGCTAAGATGAGCTCATGATCATTTAATCTCTTCTTGGAGTGAACTCATAAGATCATTTGTGGTTTAATCAGAGCACAGTAGACTTAAGTGCCAAGTTCTAACAAGTCAAAGAGGGAAGTAGACTATTTTAGCATCAACCGAAGCTATGAGATGTTAAAAAGTGTGCCATGATGAGATTTGTAAAGTAAATGATGAATGCAATGATTGAATAAGACCATCCTTTATATTACCTTGAAACTTCATTTACTGGATTCTGCAGTTCTCTTTCAAAACCCATGCTGGTTTTAGAGGGAGTTTTGCCCTAAGGTTTGGGGATTCTAGGTGTAGACCCTACCATCACACAAATAATTGTATGCACCTAAATACCTTCTTGTATTCAGTGGGACTTCTTTTATAATACAGTTATTCTCATGTGTTTATATTTGGAGAACCAAATTCAAGAACTAAATACATGGGAAGATTGGCATGAAAGTCCACTAAAGGCCAACACGGACGCATGACACTGATCCTCAGTATCCAGCTGTCCACTTACCATGCAGACACATGAAATTTTTCGAGACTAGATTTCCCTATAGGATTTCCCTCCTTAGAGGGCAGCTGCTCAGTGAAATCCTCTATAGGCAGCCAGAGTTCTTGAGCGATAGACAGCATGGCCAGCACAAGGGGCTCCACATTGGAAAGTGGAAAACAGCCACTTAGCACAGTCAGCAGACTAACACTTAGTTCCCATTTCTCAAGGATGTTTGAGAAATATGCGTTGGAGGGAAGCACCTACTGCAATACAGCTTTCAAAGATCAGCCTTTGCTTTATGCTATGTAGCTGAGGAAGGCCAGTCTTTCTGATGAAAAGCAAGACTCAGTTTTCAATTGACTGTAACTTGAATTCTGAGTTGCATTGAATCCTCAATCCATTCTAACCTGGGTTTACCCATGCAGAGACATTTGTTTCAAATTCTGAATCTACCTATTTGGAGAATGCACTTGAAGCTGATAGTCTGACTTTTTTGCAGTTAATCTTTCTATTATTTTGTCAAAGGTCTACTCTATATAAATAATCAAAAAAGTTTAATGCAGCTGTTTGCACTCTGACTCCATCCTGCTGGAGTCACACTGGGCTATTATATAAATGATGTGTTGCCCTTTTTTTTAACTTT